GAGACCATGACTGGCCCAAGGTCACCCAGCTGGCTTTGTGCCCAAGGCAGGACTAGAACTCAGAGTCTCCTGGTTTGTAGCCCAGTGCCTTAACCATTACGCCAAACTCCATACCTCCATAGCTTCCTCTTAATTACCATGTGGGGAATGATTGACAGGAAAGTTATCTTTACTTCTCCTGTAAGATTCCCTTTCCCCATATTGAAATTGAAATGAGACTTTAACAATGCTTCTTTTGGCATAAGTGGACATTTTTTAAAAGCCAAACTGTTGTTTCGAAAATGAAGCGACATGCTAGAAAAAGGGCCTGTGGACTGCCAATTTGCCATCTTTCCCCTCATACTGAACTCTCCAATTAGCCATTGTTCCTGAAGGCAGAACATTTATCAAAAACCAAGTTCAGATGTGTACCAAAGGCCCATGCTCCAAGCAAGCATAGTAGCTAAAGAGTGCGGGTAATGTTGTTGAATATCTGAGAATGCCATTTTTTTCATGAGTCTACTAACAGTTATTACCCTGGAAAAAAAGAAGAAATAGGTATATGATTTGTTGTACTTCTTAGTCGTTGCTTGCTTTTAAGACCTCTTAAATGCCCCCCCCCACCCTTGAAAAAAGACCTCCATATAAAACGGTGGCATCGGAGCAGATATTTTCCTCTCAAAAGTGCTGCAAGTTCAACATAGCACTTTACTGCTCTAATACGGCTATGCTAAATGAGGTAACAAACCATGTCATATGAGGTTCCAGTATTAAATGGCAGGAGGATACTATACATCATCCAATATGAATAAGTGACCAAAATAAGTGACCCAAACTATTCCATTTAAAAGATCAATGTGAACTAATAAGAGGAACTGTGGTCAACTGCATTAGGGAAATAATCCGCACCTGTAATAGGACGTGGGAATGACCTTGGAAGACAGGGCAGAGGCGCAGCCAAGGGAACCATCCAATAAAAGGCAATTTAGTCTGCAGCAGGAATGTGGGTGGGGCAAGCACCTCAGAAGGGATCCTCCCTAGTTTCGTGGGCTGTAAAGGGGAAAAACGTACTTTCAGCCTTGCGAGATTCTGTTAATGTAACCTTACAATGAAGTAGAATTGGCTCATCTGGCTATGTTTCCGGTCTGGTTTACCTCACAAGGCTGATAGCATGTCATTGTGGGAGGGGGCATTTCCTAAAGCCTTGAAAGAAGCTGTAGTGCACTCATTTCTTCAAAAGCCTTCCTCTGATACAGCTGTGTTAGACAACTATTATGCTGTCTCCAAGCTTCTCCTTTTACGGAATGTGCTTGAGGCAGTGGTGGGAAGACAGCTACAGAGCATCCAAGAGGAAATGGATGACTCTTCCATGTATCAAGCAGGTTTAAGGCCGTCACATGTTTTGGTCCATACAGAGAACAAAAGGGAGATGTTTTGTTCAGAATATGGACCAAAATGCAGTTATTTAGGGCAGGAGTGGCTTGGAGAAAGGAAAAAGTCCTGGATAAAAACACTGATGGCAACTGGCAGGAGACATTATTGGGAAGACTGGGAGATGCAGTGGCCCAGTCTTGCCCACTTTTGGTGATCCTTCTGGATTCTGTTTTTGTCCAAAGCAATCAAAATGTTGCAGATTTTGTTTCTGCCAAACTGTGGCTGAAATTAGAACATGTAGGATTATAAACAGTGGTGCTGACATTTTCTTTAATTAAATTTTTATTGTTTATTGTTAAATAAAAATAACAAACTTCAAACATGGATTAGAGACAATACTTGTTTGAGACTGGGTAATTTAGTATTAATTTAATGTCAATTATTATAGCTCTCATAGAAAAATAGACTTTCTCACAATATGCTAAAGTGACAAATCAATAAATAAACAGAAATAAAAGAGTTAGTCATGTACACTACAAAATACTTCATAGAATAGGGAATTCAATTTTAAAAAATTATTAACATGATATAATTATTCTCTGAATATTTCTTTCCTAGAAAGAATCTACGTGGTAAAATCTAAATCCACAAAAACATGACAGATCCATCCTTTTTTGGTTAAAAAAAGGAAAACACAACAGTACACATTATACAAAAGCATCAGGAAACACTACAAAATATACATTTTGTTAGGTCTATTTTAGCTATATCTGGATATGAAATCAAACCTGACATGGCAAAAAATAGAAAGGCCTGATCAGAAATTCTAGATATTATACTGTTCTACTGGCATACAACTTAAATATTTTAACACTTAGTACCTTTTTATGAGTGTGCAAAACTGGGGCATGAGGACAATCCAAATAAAAGCACAAATATATATTTTTCCAGTAATAGAAACTGTGCTACAGTTGTGCAGTTTAAGCCTTAGTAGAGCATATGTCCAAATTCTTAGTTCTGTTAAAAATCAAACGTAAAAAATCCATGGGATCACTTTGCAGAGTTTCGGACATTCAAACTGTCCTGGGAATTTGTATCAATATATGAGGGCTTGCACATAGAAATTCCAACAACATAGTATTAGGGTGTGAAGTTCACGTATGACCAAGTCTCAAATATTATCTTATACATGCCTACCCGAAAAAGTAAGTCCTCCTGCTGAATTCAGTTGGACTTGCTTTCAGATAAAATTTGGGGTTTAAATATATTAATTCTTAATTTAGTCAAGTAACTTTAATTTGGATCATAGTATTAGAGTGGTGATCTAGATCATTCTGATCTGGCCAGTTTGCCACCTCATATTTTCTGAACTAATAGAATTTTTTTCTGAAGTAACAGAACTTTTCTGAACAATAGAAAATTACTCCAACTGAATGCTTTACCATATTTTTTGTATAACAAATGAAGAATTCCCTATATTTGACTATAACACTTTAATTTAAAAGGTCCATTATGTTTACTCATATCTTTACAGAAAAAAATCTATCCAATTTTAGGAAGACTTTGTAGCAAACTAGATGCAAATATTTAACAAAGTAAATAGTGAACAGTATGTAGTGATCAGTTTCCTGACTCATAGAAGTTGCCGCTTCACTTAGAAACAGGGTATTCACAGACTATGGACAGAAAGGTAAAGATGGCAGCTGCAAGGGTGCTTGATATACATAAAAACCAGGCAAAGCTTTTATCACACCACTAAGGCCACCATTTTGACTTTTTTGACCACACTCTGTAGACACCCTTGCTTGGGGAAGTGGTTTTCCCTCCTAAGATACACTCAGCTGCCAGGAAGAATAGGTTCCTCCAACAGCTTCTGAACATTTGCAGACAATATTTCCATGGAAATATGTTCTACAGGCATTGCTACCATATAAAAGATGTCTGGGACTGTTGCCTCCATATATTTTGAGCAAGCTGGATGAAAGTGCATTTCTCCACTTTCTTCTAAACTAGTGCAATTAGAAATTCTGGGTTTGTGATCTGCTGAAGTTGGGGAAGTAAGGAGTAACCGTACCCTTCTAACAGAGTTTTTAAAATTCCTTTTGTTTTCTCTCTACAGGCCCATCAGCTCCTGTATTTTTTGCTTCCCCTCTGTCCCCAGTGCTCAGAATAGGAATATGTGTGGGTAGCTGATTTCTTGATTTCTGTCGGTTACGGTTTTCTAAATGAGATTTGAGAGTTTCTGATTATAATCCCCATCTGTGTTAGCTACCTCTAAAGTGAGAACAGTGCATTTTTGCCATACCAGTTTCAATTAACATTCTGTGACACAACTAAATAAGTTACATCATGTTAAAGTGCTACAACACAGAACGGCCTTGCAAACCGATATAAAATCCACCCATTCCAAAACATTTCCATTTAAACCAATTTTATCCTATCACTACCAAATGGGATTCAATTGGCTCCTAATCCAAATACATCTTAGCTGCAACCAGTAATTTAATCACATTAAACAGTAGTTAATGCACATTTGTTTTTGTTTTAAACAAGCAGCTCTTTCTGAAACCTAGGCATGGTGTGCAACTAGGACTCCGAGTCAGTTTTTTTTTATTACAGTGTTCAAAATTGTAAATACCCACAGCATTAGACAATATATTTTTAAAAAAACAGCAACAACTCTCAACCGAGAAAACAAAAGATCTGAAGAAAGAAGTTGTCCTCAGGAGCTGCATTTGAATGTCTCATTTACTTGCATCTTGCCAATGTTTATTTCTTCAGGCTTGTCACGCCGGTAAGTTACTGTTTTTGTACACACAGTAGGCAAGAATGTCTTATCCTTGAAGGAGAAAATATAGCTGGTCAGAAGGCCCTGTACAACTAGCATTATAATTATGTTCAAGAAAACATTCATCAGTTACCTTTTTGGCTGCAGGCACTCTATAACCTGCTGAAGACTTGATTCTACTATGGTTACAATATACAATTATCTGACGGATTATGCACACTTTAAGCAAACCAATCAAAAATGTTATTATAAAAATAATGAAAAATATTCTGAAATAACTTGAATCATCGGAGAGGCATTCTGCAATGAAACAGAATAAATAAATAAATACACACATACATACATTCATACTATCCATCATATTTAAAACAGTGTGAGAAAACCTAGGCAACATATCTAGACTGCAAAACAAATACCTTCTATGTTAAATAACCATTTTTACATTGACAAGTTTGTTCAGGATAAAAACCAAAACTAGACAATAAAGATCTATTTATTGTTTGAAGTATATGCTGTCTTTCTACTGAAAACAAGTTACTAGTTAAAATTGCACAAAAATTATATAAAATTAAAAAAGAAACAACAAAACCATTGATTTAGCCAAAGAAGGGCATTTTTACAGATTTTGCACATGAGAAAGCATGTACTTAATGCATGTCCTGAAGAAGTTCATGCCATAGCCTGTGATCTTTACAGAAGGACATGTCCAAAAGATTGGCCTCTAAAAGTTGAAGTACATTCAGAAGAGCTCCTTCTGTAGATCTTAAGATAAAGAAACATTTCAGGAACAATCAGTCAACTATGCCTTCTATTGGAGGGCTGCATTCTATTCTATGCCCAGCCTCAATCACTCTATCTTCTGTTTAAACCATTTAACTCTCCCCCCGCCCCCTGCATTATTTTCTAAGAGTTTTGTGGTGTGGCAAACCTTGATGGTTGCCCAAGTCTTGTGTTACTTTCCTGTGGCAAGGAAATGAGTTGTTTTTGATATGTAAGGTAAAGTTTTATTCAAGTCAGGCTTGATTGAATGACTTGATGGGCATCAAGGGAAATTTCTGGGCAATAATAAGGTTTGCCAGTGTGTCTTTCAACATGTTTCTTCAATGCTGGGATTTTCTGGAAGTTTCCCATCTACATACTATTGAGATTTGATTCTGCTCATCTTTCTGAGATCAACTAAGATCAGCTAAGTGCATTATTTGTGATTACATTTGTGCCTTCAATTCAATGACTATATTTGTGTCTTCAAGTCAGTGGTACTTCCTGGCAACCACTTGGATTGAGACCTGAAGTTTTATTGGCAAGATTTTTGGAAGTGGTTTGCTATTGCCTTCTTCCTAGGACTGAAAGAGAGTGACTGGCCCAAAATCACCTAGCTGGTCTCATGTCCAAAGTGGGACTACAACTCACCATCTCCCAATTTCTAGCCTGGTGCCTTAACCATTACACCAAGCTGGTTTTCCAGTTGGGTGATTAATATATATAAAAGAAAAGTCACAAAAGGCAACAACGTTAAACCAAGGCTTAATGTAGTAAAAATCTTAATTATTATTCTAAAAAGGCCTAGGAGTCCCAAGTGAATCCCTCCATATTCAGACATTGACTAACAGAGCTGAAGCTATCATCAAGAGCCACTTTGCTTAAGGAAGTATAGACTTCTCCAGTGGTTGTACATTGGGGAGATACCTAGAAGGAGCAAGATGAGTTTTTGCTCAAAATAAAAAAAAAGCTGCACATTTCAATTGATCATACCTCATGATGTGGAATAAAGATAGCCTTATTTGCAGAAATGACAACATATAGTGAAGATCGATAAGCTTAGAGAACCATTTTTTCCTGAATTATTCTGGCCAATTCTGCCAGTAGCAAAAATAATGCTCAAAGTTCTAGGAATGCTTAATAATCAATGTTTTCTCAATATTATATTTGCTGTTACTTGCCTTCCACAGGAAAAAGATATTGATCTTAATTCCTGGATGAATATTGAAATAATGAGTTGTTAGAACAAAGAACTGTTAAAGCATTATATGCGAGCATTCCTCTGAGTTTTCTTATCATCAGGCTGAAAATTGAATGTGATTCATATGTGAGAAAGACAATTCTAAGCATTTTAGCAACATACAGGTGAAAGAAAAGGCAGAAGAAGAAAAAGGCTACACTAAAATATATAATTCATCTACATTTGGCAATTAATCTCCAGCTATGAGACAATATCTAATATCAACTATGAGTTCTTTTAAAAGGAATCACAGAGCAGGCAAAATTCATATCTGGGGATGAAGAAATGTTTCATAAACAAAACTCTTCCTTAAAGGCCATGCTGAGTGAGGGCTATGAAAGCTATAATTTAATAATTAGGTTGAAGAAGGTTGATATAAAAATGATTACATGGATATCTTTATACCTACCTGATCTTTCAAGATAATGCATTCTATAAGTGCAAGTGGTTTTGCACTGATCATGTGTACTGTGAGATGAGTTGAAGTATTGGCAGGGTGCACAATTGCTGTAAGACAAAATTAAACAGAGTGGGTCTTTAATTTTATTTTTCTCTCTGGATTTCACAGCAATAAAAAAAAAACCAACCATGGACTTTGTGTGTTCTGCATATTGGCTCTTGCTCTCATTAGAATAAGAAATATACAATATTCCCTTGTTCCAGGTTGTTTAATCAAGGAGATGGATGGGTATCAAATGTGCCGTAAAAGGCTGAAGCATCATCATCATTTCAGCTAGCAATGAATACAAAACAGCTTCACAAGAAATACTATAATTTATCTTGTATTTCTTGGAAGATACTCTTCATGCCACAGCTTCCTGACTGGCAATGACACCCAGGTGGGCCTTTTCAATGGTGGAGTCTATGCTGAAGGATCAGGCCACAATGCTGATATATTTCAAAGATCACTTTTTAAAAGAATCATCTTTTTATCTCTGCCCTCAACACCTAATTGTTTCATTTAAATGGACTGTTTGAAGGGATATACAACATATTTTGAGCTTGAAATTGCTGCTACAGGAATTTCAAGAGCTTTGTTTCAAGATCAGAATGTTTTCTGATTTTATTACATTTATAAGGCTGCCCAATTCTATAAGGATTCTGGGCTACTTCCTACAGATAGAATTTTGAGCATCCAAGTCTTTGAAAACAAGATTGAAATAAGTTGGTCTGACCTCAGATTGATCCTTTTAAAGTGTTCTGGCTGCAAAACAAAATATTTATTTTCTAAAGTTTTGTTCTGAGGGTATCAAAAAAACCCACTCAAGAACTATTTAAAGTTTTGTGATAATATGATTTGAGTTTTCCAACAGAACATTTCAAGTGAGACAGTTTTGTTGTGAGCTGAAAACACTTATTTAACCCACCCTCTTTTTTTAAAAAAAAAATCTATTTATTACTTTTTTATTTTGTTTTTGTTTTATTCTGGAATATGTTTATGGTTACTGTAAGTACCACTGAGATTTTTTAATAAAAAGCAGTATAGAGATATTTTTAATAACACATAAATAAAAATGTAAATAAAGTGTAAAATGACCTCTAAAGCCTATTTTGCCATTCCAAGAATCTTTCTAATTAGAATTCTTCTAATCTAAGATTATAATTGTTTTGTTACAACTTTTTTTTTTTTAATTTGCTGCCCAATTTCAGTGGCATGATTGCTGAAAACTGACAACAGGTTTCCTACCATTATGAAACATAAATCAAACAGAGACTATAACAGAAACTCTTATACTGGAAAATTAAAATTTAGTGACCAACCCATCAAAGTTTTACTCTCAAGAAAAATAAAAACTAATTCCACTGATCTTTTATGTCTGCCTTGAACTGCCAGTAGATGTATTCTTTGCCAATCACTATTAACCCAACAAAGTTAGAGGTTCATGGCATGTGATATCAGCTTGCAATGTCTTTGGAGTTGTGGCCTACCACATTTTAAAAGGAGAATTTCATCAAACCAGGAAGTTTCAGAATTCTCAAATTATGAATAGGGAACACAAAATGGTACCTGAAGTTAAAACATGACAATATCTTAAATCAAGGGAGAGATATAAAGTATGTCTGTTTCTGTGTGTATGCATCTGCCCATCCAATAGGTCACATAGGGTGGGCGCACTCCAAGTCCTTTCCCTTAAATGTTGTCATCTGGTGGGACCTTGCAGCTGTAACTTCTTTGTAGCAGCCCCAGCCCTCTGGAATAGCCTCACTCCTGAGATTTGAAGGACCCTTACCCTTTTAGCCTTTCAGAAGGCCATGAAGACCTGGCTCTTCCCCCAAGCACTGGGCTAGGATGGGGATTGAGTCAGGAGGTTAATAATTTGGTTGGTCTGGTGCCGTGTGGGAAGTGTTAGGGATTTTATTCTTCTGCTTTTATTCTTGTTTTTATTGGTGGTTGTGAGCTGCCTAGGATCACTATGTGAGATAGGCAGCCGTATAAGTTTTTAAAGTAAGTAAATAAATAAATGCATGTGGGAATGCCAACTCATTAACAAGAAATTATAGGCAATTCTAATTCTCTAGCAATCACTTTAAGCCAAATCATCATCATCATCATCATCATTATCATCACCCCCACCCCCACCATCTCAATTTATCCACTCTCCTGAAAGCTAAAAACTATTTCACAGAACAATTCTCGGTATGTTTTCTCTCCCTGAAACACCAGGAAAAAATAAAAAGCAGAATCAAACTACCTTGTGAAGCAAGAAGTTTATGGGGTATTCTACGTACATGGATTTAGAATATTTCCAATGAAAAAGACCCTAACAAGTATTTCCAACACAACAGACCTACCGCATGTCACTGCAAACTTTTCTACAGGTAGGGCAGAATTCACACAAACGACCTAAACTGCTGGGGTCAGCACACTTGCATTTCCCGCATACACAAGTTCCTCTTCCGCTGCAGATTTGGCCATTTGAGTTCATGCAGTGTTTTCGCAAGGATAAGGAACACTGGCAGCGATCACCTTCCCAGCCCGCAAAGCAGGTGCATTTGCCAGCTTCACATTCTCCATGGCCTACAAGTACAGAGCCAAAAAAAAAAAAAGAAAAAAAAAGGTACAGGCTTGACTGCATTATTTACTAGAGGTCCCATTAGGTTCTTCCAGATAAAAAATGTACTTTTAGGCAGAATCTTGAAAACAAATGTTATCCTATTTCATTATGAAACTATAAGGGGCATTTTCAAGAAGATATGAAAAATGCCTTTGATTCAGCTGAGGTTTTATATTTGGGACATGCACCTAGTGTGAATTGTTAAGTAGCACTTTAATGTTACTTCAAGTTCTTAGATCCGTTTGTTGACTTCCTATCTCTTTCTCCAGCACAATGATATAACTATTATTTTTAAAACTGTCACCTCAGGCCTTATTGTTCATTATGCGCCACTACTCTGAATCTTGTTCAACTTAATCAGTGCTTGCCAATTAAACATCTCCAAGCTCTTTTAAATGACTCCATCTTTTCTTCTTTGCCGCAATGTACATCCTTTAAAATGTTTGCATAGTTCCTCTCTCTTCTTGCACATAAACCCTGCCAACCTTTTTAGATGTGATCCAGAAGAGCTGGGAGAATTATTTCCAAGAAATGGCAAACCAATTCCGAAATGGCTGGATTGGTGTTTTGGAGGAAAAAAAAAAATAGAACACTGTTACCACACCACAACTATTTTTGCTTATACAATTCTGTATTTCAATAGTGCTATAATTGTATTATACAAGCATGCACATGTGTGTGTGTGTGAGAGAGAGGGAGAGATAGAATATGTTTCTCAGCCTGGGTCTCAACATTGACAGATTATAAATCGTATTAGAAGGATTAAAATATGAATGAATAAAACATAACAAAATTCCACCCTTACCAGCACATAGGTTTCCAAAGTAATATGGGCAGGAAAAGTCATCTTTTTCACAGTATTTACCATATACTGTGCCATATTTGTTTTTATAGCAAATGCATTTCCCATGTACACATTCTCCCTGGCCACTGCAAAGAAGATGGTCCTGTTGCATCCTGCACTGTTCCAAAGATAATTTTTCACTGGAACCACATATGCTCCCCTTGCAGGTGGATACTTCAATGTCATGAGGTGTTTCATTGATGCAGATTTTTTTGTGTTTTGCATCGTCCTGACACTGACACATACATCTTTTGTGGATGTTAATTCTGGAGGACTCATTGAAACCAAGGGGTTTTAGCATCACATAGTTTCTTCTGTCAGTTGTACCACATTCTTTCATGGCAATAGAAATATTAAAGAACACCTGTGATTAAAAATATAAAGTATTAAAATGATTACATAATGAAAAATGTTTTAATAGAGATTTAGGGGAGATGCACACAAGGATTTTGTGCTGGTCAGGAACCAGCCATGGATTTCTGTACTGGACAGCTGAGCTATCATGGAGCTGTGAAACCAGCATTTTGGATGAATGATATTGTACTTCTATTTCTCTACTGGGGGACTGCTGACTCAACTCTGTTCTGATTCCTAAGCTTCAGTGTTCTGTAAGGGAAATGCTAGCTTGATGTATTTGCAGTTCCCACTTATAAATAAATGACTTCAAGTCGGTAAGACTTTAGGTAGAATATATGAGCATTTACAACAACCTGACAAGAGCACAGAGGAATTCTAGAAAACAAACGTTAACTTGATTTCAGCTTATTGGAGAGCCTAAGAATAAATCATTTGATTTAATTTAAAATAAAGCTCCAAATAAATTAATCCATGGCAGAAACATGGAGAACTTCAATTCTTTGAAATACAGTTTTAAATCCACAGAAAGCTTTCTTCTATTGAAAAGTAATCATAATATCATGAACAAAATATTTCATCTCCCTTGTTAAAAAAAGGAATGCTCATACTTCAGTTGAGGATTTCACATTCTTGCATCCCTCTGAACCCATTTTTCTACTTCCATCAGGACAGATTGCAGTAACTTTGACATGTATATCTTCAAGGGTGTTATCCACCTGAATTTTCACTTCAGAGAGCAGCTTCTGAAACAAAACAAGAGCAAAATAAAAAGAATTCTACCCCTTTGTGTAGCAACACATACCACCTATTAGCAAGCCCAACTCGGTGGATTCAAATAGAGTGGAATAACCTGTCAGTCTAGGAATAAAGGAGAAAACTGTTTTCTGTACAGAAATTGGTTTTCACATCTGTGTGATTCAATGCTTAGGATGACCTTTCTTTTCATTCTGATGCCACAGGGCAATTTCTCACATTACCTTCTTAACTGGACATTATGTGTAAAGAAATGCTTAGCAACTAAAAAGCCACTTATCTAAACTGTCTATTATTTTAAGACTATTAGAGTTTCTCACTCCACTGACTTCCAACCTTTTCCACCAATACCACCCAATACAGCTGCAGGTGTGTGTGTGTGTCACTTGAAAAACAAGATGGCAGCTGCAATGTAAAAAGGGGTGGGGCATGGATCACATGGTAGTCCTCTCTGATCACCCTCTAAGGACGCCTCTTTTCCGATCACCCTCCATGGGAAATTTAAGTAAAATATACAATCTTAAACAGCATTGGTTGTTACAAATTATTATTCTAAATATGCTGGATTGGGTCATAAAGCATGAAGTATACTCTTAAATTTTTCTAAAATAATACATTAGGATAGCCTAATGATATATTTTTCAGTTAGCTCACAATGCTATAATTGCATATGTCATATATATACTGTGTATATATTTTGGATTTAAGTAGTTTTTTCCTTTGAAGGAGAAGAAGAAATAAAAACAGACCTGGGATTCTCACAACAGAAATTCATGGCAGAATATAAGCAAAATGTATTTGGGTACTATATAATAATAAAAATTATCATGGTCAAATACATTTATTGCGCAATAGCTAGATAGCTCTGAAGAACGAAATACTGAATTATACGAATCACAGCAAAATCACAGATATGCTAAGAACTGTCTATAATAAAAATGCCATATAAATAAAAAAACACTGCTAGCAATGTAACACAACCTAACTGAAAATTATCAAGAGGAAACAGAAAGGTGTGTGTGTAAAAAGAATCCTACGGAAGTGTCAGCCTTTTTAACAGGGTTGAGGTAGGCAATCTGCCCTCCAGATATTTTGGAATGTAACTCCCACAGTCCTGTCATAGGCCAAGATATCTAAGGTTACAGAGAGTTGAGCCGAATTCCAAAACATCTGTAGAGTTTTAGTTTATTTCTGAAAACAGTCCAATGGCTGTTTCACAATATAAAAAAGATCCTCATTGATGTGAAAACAGTAGAACCCTCAATATCTTTTATTCAGTTATTGTACACATATCAGTTCAAGTTATTATCATGAAAAGTAGTCAGTTAAAGCAAAAGCTGCAACCACATTCATTTATAAAGGAATTGTGTTTTTATCTTTTATAGAGATACATGTACTCCCTGAACATCTTCCTGTATCATGGATGAACATGGAATCCATAGAATATTCACTTCAATAAAGATTTTGAAAAATAAAGAATATACTATCACCATATTATGATTCATTAGTGTCACAGGCACATACCTTGTAAGCTTCTATTACCAAATCCCCAAGATTTGCTGCCTCTGATTCTATCTGTTTTGCAACAGTTCCCGGTAGCAGAGGCAAAAGTTCCTGTGAAAATATTAGGTTATGATTATAATGCCACTGTATTTCTTGTTTCCAAATAACATAGTTCTATCTTTAAAAATACCTTATACCAGTGATATTGGCTTCCTCGGACTGCAAATATTACATTAATATTGTTGTCTATGAGCTTTTCAGAAAGTTGGCCAAGTGATGGGTGCTCCTGTAAATCACAAAGAAGATATGCAATGTGGCTTTTATAGATTATTATAATTGCCAAACCTAACATTTTACTTAAAGAAACTTACATAAATATATATATTTTTATTCTTTAATACAAATCTTATTCATTTTAAAAAATAACAAGCTGCATATGCAAGTTTAATTTAAATCCAGGGCCAGTGCTTCATACAATTTACTGGTCATCTATGAACATTTACTGAAATTCTTAGATCATAATGCAACTCTCACAAAGGAATCTTTTGTTGCTGCTTATTAGCATAGTTTAGTTACAAAAATGTTATTTATCACCCCAAATGAAAGGGCTGAAGCTTGTACGGCAGAAACCAGAGAACTTTTAGGCAAACATTTACCAGCTGCTTCCCAAGACTGTCAAGAGCAGTGTTTCTCAATCTTGGCAACTTTAAGATGTGTGGACTTCAACTCCCAGAATTCTCCAGCCAGCCCAGGAGAATACTGGGAATTGAAGTCCACACATTTTAAAATTGCCAAGGTTGAGAAACACTGATCAAGAGTCTGGCTAAGCAGCTATTAACTTGAAAAGGCAGGAGGAAAAAGCTTTGTGTTTAAACTCTGGGGGGACAGACTACATAACATGTTTGACTTTTTTGCACTGTAGTGGACAAATCAGCTGTGCATACATGGCTTTGTTCTTCTCTGCAATAAAGAGCCTAATTTAGCTCAGTCATGTGTAAGAGTCTTCTGCTGGGTGAGCCAAATTCTAAGTAGGAGATTAAGTGCACGGAGAGGCAAGATTTACTGCCAAACCCTAGCGTGCAGCCTATCACCAAGCTATTTGTGATTCAAACATTGGTGAACATATAGTTGCATTAAAAAAAAAAAAAAGGTAGCCCTGGTCAATTTGTATGTTTCAATGAATCCCTATATGAACAAATGCTGGCACTTCCTTTAGACAGCACAAACTGTCTAAACATGATTTTTTCTCTATAAATAAGGAAACAGTCAATGTAATTAGTGCAACATTTTGAGCATCCTTTCAGTCAGTTCTTTGACACAAATAACAGATTCCAAATGTCCCCTGCAGCCAGCAAAGAGTTTGTCTAGTCTTGCTTCTGGATTTTTTTACCACAATTCCTTGCAGAATTCTTTTGTTTCAGAAATAATTTTAGGTCCCCTTGCAGACTCTGCATGTTTCGTATCTCCCTACAAATTTTCAGTAATATTCAGATCTGGGAACTGTAAAGGCCATTCCATAAACTTTTTCTTTGTGACAGTGAATTATCTTCATTCTCAAATGCTAATAGTCCCTTAGAGAAACCCATGGTTGTTAAAAGTAGAGAGAGGAACACTCAAAACCTGAAGGGTTAGAAGAGTCAGAATATCTGTTCACCTGTGGAATTATCTTCAACTGGCAAATTCTAAGCCTAAGGAGTCAGTGACTCCTTAATTTCATATGACCACACATGTTCATTCTTTGGAAGGTACTTATCAAAATCCACAGACAATCTGAGAAAAAGGCTGTCTTTTTTAAGTTGAGCTTGATGTCTTGACTCCTACGTTTACTTGATAGTAATACAGTAATAGTTTGCCATTGCCTTCTATCAGCTTTTTTTTCCAACTTCATATAGAATGGAAAAAATTCTATACGTTCAAGCATAACCACATCACTTCTTAAGGTAAAGGGATGTATTTGAAAAAAAAAGAGAATGTTTTTTTCAGTTCCTCGTATTTCAACAGCTACATAAAACTGTTTTTCAATTTTTAATGGCCTAGTACCTAAGAGAAAGCTCTGCTCTATATTTTTCCTGCAACATTTATTCTTTTTCATTAATGTTTACATGAATTAGCATTTGAACACACATACTCCTACTGGCAGGAACATTCATGCTAATGGCTTTACCAATATTCCTTCTATTAGCCATCAATCACCACATTATCCAAAATCTATACAGACATAAAGGTACTCTGACCAAGAACAAATGTACTGCATATCCTCTCTGATCAATCAAAGCCCTGAAACAATTTGAATGAGAAGGTTTGAGCAGAAGTTCATACCTCTCAGAAGATGATTCTCATAGAGACCTTTTTAATGCTTTAGGAACACAGCCCAAAGGTAACACTGCATTATGACATATACCTTACCATACTGGTTGCTTTGACGTACACGTTCTCTTTCAAATGGCAGTTTCCATCATTTGGAATTACTATCCCTGCTAATTTACTGTCAAGAGCCAAATGAGAAGTTTGATCAGTCATCATGAGAAGTAGACGCTTTGCTTCTTTGCGCCAACCAATACGGCTCTGCAATAAATAAAAGAATGTAAGCTATATACCCCTTCATGGATCACTGCCTTGTCGTGGCGAAGGGGCTTGCGTACCTCAGTGAAGCCATGAGCTAT